GATGAGTGGATGAATGGGTTTGTTGATGGGTAGAACAATGGATGGATGGGTGACTGAATCAGTTTCCCAAGTAGGGATTTCTTACAAGAATTAAACTCTACTGTTCCTGGAATCCTAGCACTCTGGGAGGCCAAGGTGGGCGGATCGCTGCCAAGTCAGGAGTTCGAAACCAGCCTGAGCAAGAGCAAGACCCTGTCTCTACTAAAAATAGAAAGAGGGCCAGGCATGGTGGCTCACACCTGTAATTCTAGCACTCTGGGAGGCCGAGGCAGGAGGATTGCTCGAGGTCAGGAGTTCAAAACCAGCCTGAGCAAGAGCGAGACCCCGTCTCTACTATAAATGGAAACAAATTAATCTAATTTCTCTAATATATAGAGAAAAAATTAGCTGGGCATGGTGGCGCATGCCTGTAGTCCCAGCTACTGGGGAGGCTGAAGCAGCAGGATTGCTTGAGCCCAGGAGTTTGAGGTTGCTGTGAGCTAGGCTGATGCCACGGCACTCACTCTAGCCTGGACAACAAAGCAAGACTCTGTCTCAAAAAAATAATAATAATAATAAATAATAATAAAAATAGAAAGAAATTAATTGGCCAACTAAAAATATATAGAAAAATTAGCCAGACATGGTGGCGTGTGCCTGTAGTCCCAGCTACTCGGAGGCTGAGGCAGAAGGATCGCTTAAGGCCAGGAATTTGAGGTTGCTGTGAGCTAGGCTGATGACACAGCACTCTAGCCCAGGCAGCACGGTGAGACTGTCTCAAAAAAAAAAAAAAAAAAAAAAGTCTACTGTTCTAAGACATTTTCTGTATGTAATGAATTAGCTTTTTTCCTTATGCATCCAGGACGCTACTTGTTATATATTATTCTTTGTGAGAATTGAGAAAATAGTCACCGTGATCATATCCTATGTTCTGTGGTTCAGATGAGGAAACTGGTTTAAGAAAGTATGAACAGGGCTGGGTGCAGTGGCTCACACCTGTAATCATAGCACTCTGGGAGGCCGAGGTGGGAGGATTGCTCAAGGTCAGGAGTTCGAAACCAGCCTAAGCAAGAGCGTGACCCTGTCTCTACTAAAAATAGAAAGAAATTAATTGCGCAACTAAAAATATATAGAAAAACTAGCCAGGCATGGTGACACATGCCTGTAGTCCCAGTTACTGGGGAGGCTGAGGCAGGAGGATCACTTGAACTCAGGAGTTTGAGGTTGCTGTGAGCTAGGCTGACACCGGGGCACTCTAGCCTGGGCAACAGAGTGAGACTCTGTCTCAAAATAAAAAGAAAGGATGAACAACTATGTGCACAGGTAAAGCATGAGCTAACACAAAATTTGAAATATGATGCAAAAATAACCACCTGTGGTTAAAATTACCCTTGAAAATTCTTTATATTGCCCCAAAGTCTAACACAGCTGGGTGTGCCTCTACTCCTGGTACTGCCTGCTGGACACCCAGGCCAAGCTGAATGGAATAGACCCCTTTTACAAGGACAATGGGCCTGTTCGAACTGGGGCCTCCTCCTCACTGGGGAGGGTGAAGTGCTTCTTGCACATGAAGGACAGAGAACTTGAATTTTAACAGAGGGACCCATAGGTTCCAGCTGTGGCAGCTCCTCTCTCCCTCTGACACTAGTGAGTTGAGTAGCCTGTCTCCCTGTCTCTCTTAGTCTCTTGGTCTCTATCTCCCCAGGTCTCTTTCTCTCTTGTCCCTGTACCTGTCTTTTTTTCTGCATCTCTTACTCTCTGCCTGCCGCCTGCCCCAAGTCTCGCATTCCCAGTCTTGTACCCATGGGCTGCGAAGAGTTGAATGCACACATGCACGTGCGCATGCACACGCACACACCCTGGGGGCTCTGCAGCAAACGGGGGTGCAGCCATGAAGGAGCAAGGGAGCAAGTGTGTGAGTCAGGCATGAGGGGAGCAGGCAGGAAGCAGCAGCTCCCTGCCCCTGCCCCCCAGGTCACTAGGTGGTGGGCCTGGGAGCACAGGGATGGGGGGTACTGAGCAGTCACTAACCCCACCCTCCCTCCTGCAGATGACCCCGCCGCCCCACCTGTCAGGACTGGACTGAGATGTGCAACTGTCCCCTGCAGCACTGCCACCAGGATGCTACCTGACCCCCCTCTATCCTCACTGGGATAAATGGCTCTTCCTCACAGCACTGCATGCGTGTCTGAGAGAGGGACAGTGCTGGGGTGGGGTGAAGGTTGCTTGCTTCCTTCTAGGACCAGAGCCCAGGTGGGTTTGGCCACACCCAAAGTGAGGCTGCCCATGCCCTGGGGGGACCTGAGGCCACTGGGGATGTAGGAGCCCAGCTTCTCACTGGCCTTCCCAGAGGGGAACTGGGTAGGGTGGGAGTGAGGACCTTGCGCCCAGACCAACCCACCCTCCCTCCACGCAGGCCTCCCTGGGTCCTCCAAGAAGCATGGACACAAGGACAAATTGGACTTGCAAGATATTTATTGGGGGAAACACTTATGGAGGGTGGCTTGGTGCAGGTCTGTCACCTGCAAGGAGACAGGGGAGGAGAGTTTGGGTAGGATGAGTCTTGGACTTCTGAGAAAGTTTCAGCTGGCCAGTGGGGCTTCTAAGAGCCAAAGTCCTCCGCTGGGGGAGGGAGGCCCACATCATGGGGGGTGGGGGCGCCCCCTGCAGGAAGACTGCTGAGGACAGGTTTCCAGGCCATGGCATGCCGCCTCCCCCCCCCGCCCCCCTCCCCCCATTTCAGGCACCCTTGGCCTCCCCGGCCTCCCTCCACATACCTCCCACTCACTTGTTTCAGACACTCCTCACTCCAGCACACTGCAGCCCCCTCAGTCCAGGGCCCCCACAATCACAGCCTGGGACCCTCACTCAGCCCAGATCCTCGAGCCCCCGCCCCCGCCCCGGCCCCAGACTCAGCCCAGGTCATCCTCCTCCTCAGCTCAAATTCTCCCCACTAACCTCCCACTTCTCTCATTCCAGAGCCCCCCTCAGCTCACATCCCCATGGCCACAGCCTAGCACCCCGGCTCAGCCTGGGTCCCCCATGGCCCCCAGGGCACACGCACCTGGCCCCCTGCCCCAGGTGTGCGCTGTGTATCCTGTTCCCCACGGCTCTCAGAAAAGAGAACAGGCGTCTATAGGATATCTCTGTATTGAGGGGTCCCCCAGGGATGCCCCTAATCTTCCTCTTCTCCACCCTCCGTTTCCTCGCCCCCTTCTGTCCCCTCCCCCTCGGTGGCCGCTGAGGCTTCTGCCCCCTCTGTAGGCATGGAGGCTGGCACACTGGCCACGGATGCCTTCTGGTCACTCATTGTCCCTTGTTCCTTAGAGAGCAGCGAGACCGTCTTCGACAGGTTGCATTTACCCGAAAAGAACGCTGGCATGTGCAGCATGTCCCGGCGCTTGGCCCACCTAGCAGGGAGGAACACACTCAGCCAGGCCTCCCACCTGCTCCTCTCGGGGTGCCGGCACCCTCGAGCCCCAACCCCACTTGCCAGAACAGGCAGATGCTGCAGATCAGGAAGAGGAGGCCACCGCATGTCCAGCCCAGGGCCCACATGTGCTTCCTCCGCATATTTTCTGCACAAAGGGGGAAGGTTAACACCCAGGGGTCCCAGCCACCTGACCCGGGCCCCAGGGACCCAGGCTTCGGGGCTCTCACCGTCCGGACGCTGGTGGTAGCAGACCCCATCGCGGTAGCAGCATCGTAGGCGCAGGCAGAGGTTGGGGTTCTCGATCGCCGCCTGACCGCCACAGCTCTCCCGGTCCCACACGTCACCCTCACAACCTGGGGACACAATGAGTGGTTGGCTTCATCACAGAGCCCGGCCCCAAGGACCTCAGACACGAGGGTCCCAGGTTAAGGGGCTACCTGCCTAGTCTTGTTCTGTGCAGGACCCAGGATTCTAGGACTCCGGCCCTCCTCCTTCAGACCCAGGGGTCTCCCCAGCCCCTCCTCCCTCAGACCCAAGGGTACCCCCCAGTCATTCCTCCCCCAGACCCAGGAGTCCCCCAAACCCCTCCTGCCTCAGACCCAGGGATTCCCCCTAGCCCCTCCTCCCTCAGACCCAGGGTACCCACACCTCCTCAGATCCAGTGGTCCCCTCCAGCCCCCCACACTCAGGGGTCCCCCAGCCCCTCCTCCCTCAGACCCAGGGGTCCCCCAGCCCCTCCTCCCTCAGACCCAGGAGTCCCCCCAGCCCCTCCCTCAGACCCAGGGGTCTCCCCCAGCCCCTCCTCCCTCAGACCCAGGAGTCCCCCCAGCCCCTCCTCCCTCAGACCCAGGGGCCCCTCCTCCCTCAGACCCAGGGGTCCCCCCAGCCCCTCCTCCCTCAGACCCCTCAGGGGTCCCCCAACCCATCCTCCTTCAGACCCAGGGGTCCCCCCAGCCCCTCCTCCCTCAGACCCAGGGGTCCCCCCAGCCCTTCCTCCCTCAGACCCAGGGGTCCCCCCACCCCTCAGACCCAGGGGTCTCCCTCAGACCCAGGGGTCCCCCCAGCCCCTCTTCCCTCAGACCCAGGGGTCCCCCAGCCCTTCCTCAGACCCAGGGGTCTCCCCCAGCCCCTCCTCCCTCAGACCCAGGGGTCTCCCTCAGACCCAGGGGTCTCCCTCAGACCCAGGGGTCTTAAATGGGCTTCGCCTCCCTAGGGGACCCAAGGTTTCAGCCACTGCTCACTCCATGGATAGAAGAATCCCTGGATTCCATTCCCATCTGTGAGAGAAAAGGGCTGGTGTTGGGGGCTGTGTGGAGGCTGAGGTGGCCCCTGCTCAGCTCTCCACCTCCTCAGCCCCCTCACCTACTGAGCCCTGCAGCAGCAGGAACAGGCCCAAGCCCAGAGCTGGGATCCCACAGCCCACCATGTCGCCTCCCCAGACCCCTGGGGCCTCTGTGGGAAGTGTCCTAGAAGGACATCACCCCAGCAACCAGCTGAGCCCCGCCCACCTGGCCCCCAAGATTATGAGTTCTGTTGCCAGGGAGTCCTCTTAGCAATGGGGAGGGAGGGGCCTCACACTGGCCTGGCCACGCCCTGCTCAAAGGAATTGATTCTTTAGGGACCAAGTGGAAGAGGCAGGGTGGGGTGGAAGAGGCAGGGTGAGATGGGGTCTCCAGCTTAGATGAGCCTCCTTAGGAACTTTGGGTGGGAAAGAGAAGTCCAGAAGAGTCTAGGGCATCTCCTTGTCACCCAGGGAACCCTGGGGATGGGGATCTGGGAGACCTTTTGGCGAGGGAATCCCTTTCCTAAGTAACCTGATGCCTGAGAAGGTCACTCCAGTGGCCCAAAGGCTCAGGAAACCCTGTTGCTAGGGAGTCTTTCCTCTTAGCAACCAGGGTAGGGGGGGTCTTGAGATACAGAAGGCCTCACTGAGCCCCATTGTTAGGGAAGGTCCCCCTAGCAACCGGGAGACCCAGGAGGGGGATGAGACCATGGGGCTGGGGCCAGGGGCCAGAGCCTCAGGCGGGGTCCCCTGGTTCCACGGGGTTCTGAGAGTGGCTCTTCCACTCAGGCCACCTTCTCTCTACCGGGCCCCTGCTGAGATTGGAGGAATGGTGGAGGGCACTCCTAAGCGAGGAGGTCGCAGTTCCCCTCCTGCCTGGTGGCCAGAGGGTGGGGGCTGGGGAAGGAGTCCCTTGGGTGGGGAAAAGGGGGATCATCCAGCCTCCATTTTGCTCTCCCCCAGTGGCTGTGGAGAGACTTGGTTCCCAAGAGGAGGAAGCCAGACTGGGGGCTGGGTTGGGACCACGATTCCTGGTTCACCCTGTCTGAACACCCACTCAGCTTTGCAGGGAATCTCCTCTCCCCTGGGGCAGTCTCTATTTGGGCTACAACTCCTGAGTCTGAGGGACAAGGGGGTGGGGAGGCCTTGCACCTGAATTAGAAGAAACCTAGGAATTGCAGGGTCAACTCCTGGGTCTGAGGGAGGAGGGGCTGGGGGGACCACTGGATCTGGGGAGGAGAGGCTGGGGGTACCACTGAGTCTGGGGGAGGAGGGGCTGGAGGATCATTGGGTGTGGGGGGCTGGAGGGAACCCCTGGATCTGAGGAGCTGGGGGGACCCCTGGGCCTGAGGGAAGAGGGGCTGTGGGGACCCTTGGTCTGAGGGAGGAGGGGCTGGGGGCCTGGCCCCCTGGTCTGAGTGGGAACAATCCGGGAGCCGGACCCCATTCCCAGTAAGCCCAGGAGGCTGACTCCCTGTCTTACCCGGCTCTCCTGTAAACATCCTGGTGTGTGCTGAGTGGGCCCCGGGCTGCCTTCGTCAGAGATGACACAGGTCAGAGGGGGCTCGGCAGGGGGCCGGGGGTGGGGGTCAGAGGGGTTGTGGGGCTGAGGCTGGGCAGCTGCTGACCGTTTCCTGTGTCAACATCATCTGGTCCCACTTCCCAATTCTCGGGATTCCTCAGGGATCAAGGAGGCGGTGGGGGGGCGGGGCCGGATTGCCTTGGACCGCGGCTTGGGACTTGGGGGCCCCCGCCGTCACAGCCCTCACCGCTAATGACAGGTTTGGGCTGCCTCTGTGGCTGGACTGCCCCGTCACCCCCCAGAGGCCAGACAGGACCCCCCAGGGACAGACAGACGGACACACACAGCCTCGGACCTGCTGACCTCACACCCTGCCAGCCCGGCTTCCCCCAGGCCAGCACATGCACAGGGACTCTCTGCCCCCCACGTCCCGCTTCATCTCCCCCGGGAGCTTCTGGCAGCCTGGCTCCCCACCCCGTCTCTGAGCTGGCCTCGTGTGTCCACCGTTCCTGGCTTTGCTGCCTTCTCGTCCCTCTGCGTCTCTGTGCTCCTGTTTCTATTTGTCTCTGTTGCCTTCTGTCATTTCTCGGGATTTCCCAACCCTGCCTCTGGGTTCTGGTTCTCTTTTCCTGTCTTCACCTCTCTCTCTCTCCCTCTCTCTCTATTTCTCTCTCCCCTTGTTTCTGCAGAAGTCACCCAGCCAGGTGTCCCCCCACTGGCCTGGGGAAGACCCAGGAGTCCCGAGCAATCCCCTGCCCTCCTGCCACCCCATATGCCTCCACTCCTGCAGCCACACTGGGGGGGATGAAGTCTGACCCCACAACCCCCAGGGTAAGGACCCAGCCAGGACAAGAAACTGGGACCCCTATATTGTCCCTAATCATGACCTCCCCCACACAGAGCACTTCCCAGAGTGCAGAAGGGCCACAAGTTTTTCCTTCATCTTTCTCCAACTAGGATTTAGGGCCCCAAACCTTTGGTCTGAGGGAGGAGGGGCTGGGGGCCCCGGACCCCTGGGTCCCTTTAGGTGGAAGGGGCTGGCATTACCAGATCCCTGCTGTTGCTCCCGGGCTGGCCCCAGGCCAGTCCCCCATCCCCTCGGGCTAGTCCATCCCCTAAGCTGGTGGCCTGAGTCACCTTGGCTGGCCCTGCCGGTCTGGGGGGGGCTACGTCAGCTCTCCCCTCACTGACGCAGCCTTGGGCCCCCCACGCTGACTCAGCCGGAAACAGGCCCCCTGAGAGGCGGAGACCCAGTGGTCAGAGTTCTGGGTCCCAGCGGGAGCCAGGGCTGGGGGCCCCTGGAGGGGTGGCTATGACAGACCAAAGAGGCAGAGAGCAGGCTCTTACCTGAGGCGATGAGGTCATGTCCCACCATGGGGGGGCTGTGACCTCACCTCCTTGGGGACCTGAGCAGACGCCCCTCCAGGAGTAGTGGATGGGGAGGGGGAGGCCTCCAGCTGCCATTCACCCCCAGATCCCCCTGGCAGCTCAGCGCAGCCTCCCGGGCTGGGAAGGGGGTCTGCAGGGAGACCTTGGGAGGTCCTTCCACCTCTTTGTGCTCTCTGTCCAATGTCCAATCCTATCTTTCTCTGGCATCTACATCCTGGGGGGCCCTTGGGGACTTAGGTTGCGTCCCTGTCCCTCCCCCGTTCTATTACAAGTCTCAGGTTCTGCTGCAACTGACCGCCCGGCGCTCACCCACTGCGTGCCTGGGTGGGCATTGAGACCATCGCCCCGAGCCTGAGCCTGTGTGTCCCTCTCCCACCGGACACCTCTCCTGCCTCTATCTCCCCGAGTGGCGCTGTCCGCTGGCCATGCCCCCCATCCTCACTCCATCTCTCCTGCTCACAGCTCCACCTCTCCCCCAACCTCCCCGAGTCTGCCAAAGGCTACATCCTTTTGTCTCCCAGATGTGTTAATAAAAATTAACGAGGAGAAAAACGCTGGTTTACAGTGATTGAGTGCTGACTTTGTGCTTTATGTCAATGAGCTCACTTCGTCCTCATCCTGGGGTTTGGGGGCATGGGGGGCTCTCACTGTCCCCATTTCACAGACAAGGAAACTGAGGCATGGAGGGGCAGTCACGCATTCGAGGTTCCACCTCCACAGAGTGTCTCCACACCTCTTTCTCTTGGTCCGGTCTCTATCTCTGGTCTCTGGTTCTCTCCCACCATCATGTCTCTCCCTGTCTCTGAGAGAGGCTTCCCCTCTCTCTGCCCCCATTGCTGAGTCGCCTGCATCTCCAATGTCTCCGTCTCCCTGTCTCTGCCCCCCCCCATCCTGGTGGCTCTGCCCCACATCTCTGCATTTCCTCCGCTCCCTGCCTCCTCTCACTGTGTCTTGGTGTCCTGTCCCTGTCCTCTCTCGGTCTCTGCAAGTCCCTCCCACTGTCTTCATGTCACTCTCTGATCTCTGGCTCCTCTCTGGCCCTCTCTGCCTCTCTGGGCTGTCTCCCTGGCTCTGTCTCAATGTCCCCATCCCCTGTGTCTCCATCTCCCTGTCTCTGGTGTCCTCCCCACACCGTCCTTTGGAGTCTGCCTCCCTTGCACATCCATCTCCCCAGGCCCCTGTGCTGCTGCCCTGGCCTGGCCTCTCGCTCCTCCTGCTCCCAGCTCTCGGCCTGTCCCGGTCCAGCCGGACCCCCACCCACAGTCAGGCCCCAGCTCTGGAGCCGTGTGTGTCTGCTCCAGCCGTGGAGGTGGAGGGAGGGGACGCCAATGACCTCACCAGACCCTCTCCGACCACCCCCCCTTTCCCTTTTCAACTTTTCCAACTTTTCCTTCCGTGCCCTCCTCTGAGCGCCGTGCGCGCCCTGAGAGGCAGCGGCTCCGTGTGAATGGAAAAGGCAGGCAGGGAGGGTGAGTCAGGATGTGTCAGGCCGCCCTCCCCTGCCGCCTGCCCCCCGCCGCCGCCCCGGCCCCCTATATAACCCCCAGGCGTACACACTCCCTCACTGCCGCGGCCCTGCTGCTCACCGCACATGCCTCCCCTCCCCAGGCCGCGGCCCAGCTGACCCCCCGGGCTCCCCCTGGCAGCGGACAGGGAAGGGTTAAAGGCCCCCGGCTCCCTGCCCTCTGCCCTGGGGAACCCCTGGCCCTGTGGGGACATGAACTGTAAGTTGGTTCAAGTTCATGGGTGGAGGGGACAGGGAGGGAGGGAGGGACCCAAGGGGGGCAGACACCGCTGAGTCGGACAGACAGGGACAGAGGAGCGCGCCGCGGGGAGAAAGGGCGATTCAGAGAAAGCAGGAGGCTGAGACGAGATGGGCAGAGAGGGACGCAGAGACACAGACGAAAGCGAGGGACAGGCCAGACAGGGCCCGGCGACGAGAGAAAGGGGGATTCACAGACAGGGACAGATGCCGGGAGTTTTTCCCAAATGGCTGGGGGCCCCCAGGGAGTCCGCGGGGACCAGGAGCCGAAGACACCCAGGGACCCTGAAAGAGAGGCTTCTGGGAGGGAAACTAAGGCAGAGTCCGAGAAGAGGGCAAGCCCGGGAACGCGGTCCAGCCGGGGGAGGCAGAGGAGCGGGGCGTGGACAGAAGGCTGGGAGAGCCAGACAGATGCGGGTGGACGGACCGCCGGCTGGACGGCCGGGGAGCGGCGGGAGGACGGCCCTGGCGGGACGCGACCAGGGGGCGGGCTGGAGGTGTGCTGCGGCGCGGGCGGCCCGGGGGCGCTGATTGGCTGGCGGGCGGGTGGGCGTGGCGGGGGGGTGGGCTGCGGGGAGCTGCGCGGAGTCCCCACACCCCAGCGCCTGCCGCCTGCGCCCCTCGCCTGTCCCGCCGGGCGCCGCCGGCTCCTCGCTCCCCGCCCAGGTGTGCTGCGGGCCGGCCCGGCACCACCGCGGCCGCTTTGGCGCGGCTCCTGGGAGGGGGCGCCGTGGGGTCTCCCCGGGAGGCTCAGCGTGTCCGGGTCTCGGCCCAGGTCTCCGGCTCCCTCCCCTGCTCCCAGTCCAGCGCGGGCTCCCGGGGCCCGGGGAGGGGGCAGGTTCTGGCCTGTGCCTCCCCCCTCATGCCCCGCCCCGGGGCCCAGATTCCGGCGTCCGGGGGCGGACGGGAGACGCCCGGCCAGTCTACCCGCCCCGGGCCGCGTCTGCTCCGACGGGCGGGGCAGCCAGAGCCGGGGAGGGAGAGGGAAGCCCGCCCCGGCTCTGCGACCTGCCTCCGGGTGCTCCACCCGGGGACTTAAGACCTCCAGCCCCTCCTCCCTTCCGACCCAGGGGTCCAGCGCCAGCCTGAGCTCTCTGCCTCCTCCGCCCCTCCCCCCAGGTGTTTGCCGCCTGGTCCTGGTCGTACTGAGCCTGTGGCCAGATAGAGCTGTTGCCCCTGGGCCACCTCCTGGCCCTCCTCGAGCTTCCCCAGACCCTCGGGCCGAGCTGGACAGCACCGTCCTCCTGACCCGCTCCCTCCTGGCGGACACCCGGCAGCTGGCCGCACAGCTGGTAGGAGAGACTGGGCCCGAGCCAGGACAGGATGACAGGGATGGAGAGACGCCGAGAGGGCTCTTGGGGGGAGCCGGCAGGAGGGCTTCTGGGCTCTGGGGGTGGCAGCCAGGGGAAGGAGGAGTTTGGGTCCTGAGGTGGGGCCTGGAGGAGCCCCAAGGCTGGGTGGAGGGTCCCCTCACAGCATTTTTCCCACCAGAGGGACAAATTCCCAGCTGAAGGGGATCACAACCTGGATTCCCTGCCCACCCTGGCCATGAGTGCAGGCGCGCTGGGAGCGCTGCAGGTAAGGGCAGGGGAGTGGGGTGGAGCAGAGGTGGGGGGCAGGCAGTGAAGGGGGCATGGTGGGTCCTGCCAGCTGTTCCCTGACACCCCCGCCCCACCCCCAGCTCCCTGGTGTGCTGACTAGACTGCGAGCTGACCTGCTCTCCTACCTGCGGCACGTGCAGTGGCTGCGCCGAGCAGGTGGCCCTTCCCTGAAGGCCTTGGAGCCCGAGCTGGGCGCCCTGCAGGCCCGGCTGGACCGGCTACTGCGACGGCTGCAGCTCCTGGTATGTCCTGGCTCTGACACCTGACCCTGATCCCTGAGTGCCTGAGACTTTGAATCCCAGGACCCCAGGACCTAAGACCCCAGGCCCAACTGCAATACCCTTGCTCTGAGACCCTAACCCTGTGTCTCCAGGATCCTGTGTCTCCAGGATCCTGTGGCCCTGAGGCCCCAGGTCCCCACATCCTGCCCAGAAATTCTAAACCCTCACCCAAGCCCTGAGACTCCATAGTCCATGATCTCTGCTGCTAACCTTCTGAACTCTCCCGACAGATGTCCCGCCTGGCCCTGCCCCAGGTGCCCCCAGACCCACCGGCGCCCCCTTTGGCCCCACCTGCCTCAGCCTGGGGAGGTGTCAGGGCGGCCCACGCCATCCTGGGGGGACTGCACCTGACGCTGGACTGGGCCGTGAGGGGGCTGCTGCTGCTGAAGACTCGGCTGTGACCCCAGATCCAAAGCCACCATCGTCCTTCAAAGCCAGATCTTATTTATTTATTTATTTCGGGGCTGGGGGCACAGCAGCCAGGTGCTACCCCCATCTTCTCCCCCTAGTCAGATACAGTCCTTCCGTGAGACCTGGGGGGGCATCTGTGCTCTATTTATACTTATTTATTTAAGCAGTGGGGTGTGGGAGGCAGGGGGACTCCCGGGTCCCTGAGGAGGAGGCAGCTGGGACCCTGGGTGCTTGACTCCAGAAGTCTGTCCGCTGTGCCTTCCTGGCTCCCACCCTCTGGGCCCGGGCAGGAACGTATATATTATTTATTAAACAGTTACTTTTTGTGTTGGGATAGGGAGGGAGGGAAGAGGGAAGCCTGGGTTTTTGTACAAAAATGTGAGACAGAGAACGAGGAATTAAATTTGTCACACAGATCCACTTGGGGATGATTTCTCTGAAGGCTGGGGCTGGACGCTGGGGCCCTTGGGCCAGACAGGGCAGGGGAGACTGGGCATTTGTCCAGAGAGCTCTGTAAAGGCAGAATCTGAGCCTCTCCTGGTACCCAGCACTTCATAAGTCCTCAAAAAATATTTAATGGAAGGTTCCAGAAGGTCGCCAACCTGCAAGCTCAAGGTCGTTCATTATGGCAATGTTCACAACAGCTTATTGGAAACAACCTAGATGCCCAGCGTTGGGGGATTGTTACATAACATGGTGCACCGTGTGATGGAACACCAGTCGGTCTTGAAAGGGAGGCCACGGGACAGCAGCCGGGAAGTGTCTGGAACATGGGACAGCAGGCTTCAAAACCACTGAGGGATCCCCATTTTGCATTTCTCCTTACATATATATGGATTTGAAAAAAAATCCCAGAGGAAAATACAACAAAATGTTGACAATGACTGTCTTGGTGGGGTCAAAGGTGAGAGGTGGGATTGTGGGTGACTTATTGTTTGTGCTTGTCTGTATTTTTTGGAATTTCTGCCATGACTGTGTATTTTGCATGACACATTTAATAATAAACACTATTTTTAGAATGACATATACCAGCCTTCCCCTTTCCCCTCCAAAAAGCCCTCCTAGGGCACAAGAATGACCGTGAATTGAGCCCCCACTCTGGGCTGTGTTCCGAGTGTGGGCTCCTTAGACGATTCTTCTGGCCTCTCAAATACACCCTGTTTTCAGGTGAGGGAAATAGAGGCTCCTTAGGTGTGAGGGGTTCTGTTGTCCAGGTCCCATGACTCAGGAGAGGGCACGGCGGTCCTACTCTAGGTCTGGCTCGTTCCAAAGGTCCCTTTCTTTGCACCTCAGTGTTCAGGAGCCATGGACCTGGGCACAGGCACACTACATGGGGAAACTGAGGCTCGGTAAGGGTTTGTGTCTTACCCAGCGTCTAAGGAACAGTCAACATCAGAGTTGGGACTATAATGCAAACCCTTTGGTTAATCATCCTTTTACAACAACACAGAGAGCCTCCCTTGGGTGGACTTGTGCTGTCACCAGATTGGGGCTATAGTGGGGCATGCCCAGCCTGGGCCTGGGGTTCTGATTCACCCGCCTCAGCCCTCAAGACTCCAGGCTTGGGCTGGGCAAGGTGGCTCACGCCTGTAATCCTAGCCCTCTGGGAGGCCGAGGTCAGGAGTTGGAGACCAGCCTGAGCAAGACCCCATTTCTACTAAAAGTAGAAAGAAATTAACTGGCCAACTAAAAATATATAGAAAAAATTAGCCAGGCATGGTGGCTCATGCCTGTAGTCTCAGCTACTCAGGAGGCTGAGGCAGGAGGATCGCTTGAGCCCAGGAGTTTGAGGTTGCTGTGAGCTAGGCTGATGCTACGGCACTCTAGCCCAGGCAACAGAGTGAGACTCTGTCTAAAAAAAAAAGACTCTAGGTTTTATCCCCAGAGAAGGGGCCCAAGTTCCGGAGAGTTCCTAGGAAGAGGGCCTTGTGGGTCTGATGAGGTCACAAAGCCCCTCCACCGAAGGCCCCTCCCCCGGGCCAGAGCTGTCCACCCCCCACAGGGCCATGGCCCAGGCCAGAGCCTCCCCGCCCCTGGGCAGCACTGCTCTCTGTAACCGCTGAGCCCCTGGCACCCGAGAAACCCGTGGGGCCAAGGCCAGTGGGCTGGGGCAGGGCGGGCTGCCAGCCTGGGTCCCAGGTCCCCTAGTCAGGACTCCCCCCACCACTTCTGCAGCCACCATGAACCGCCTTCGGAATATCAGGCTCCTCCGGCCGCCCCAGGGCCGGCCAAAGTGGGTCCCCATTCTGGGGGAGCTGCAGAAGACCCTCCAGAAGGGCGAGTACTTGCCCCTCCGCCCGCTGCCCATGTTCGAGAGTAACTTTGTGCAGGTCCCCCAGGCACCCTGGGGGCTGAGAGGGGCAGGAGGGGAGCGAGACCACCTGGCTTGGGGGATTTTGAGAGGGACAGGGATCTGGGCCTCCAGAGTGGGGGTTCGGGCTGGGGGTGCCAGAGGTGTTTGGGAGGAAGGCGTAGTCCCAGCCCCTCTCCCTGGCCGCCCCAGGTGACAAATCGTGGGGGCCCCGTGTATGTGCATCACGGAACCAACCGGCTGACCATGGGTGTGGCCGCCTCCCTGCCAGGCCTGATGCTGCCGGACATCTTGCTGATCGCCCAGCCCCCCGAGGGCAGGGAGGGCGCAGGCCTCATCCTGACCAGGTGCCTTCCTGCCCCCATCCCTGGCCTGCCCCTCTGCTGCCCGCTGCTCTAGCCATCCCCCCCCAACTCCCCAGGATGATCCCCCTGGACCTCGTCCACCTGTACGTCCACGACCTTTATGCCTGGCGCCTGAAGCTGCGCTTGGTCACCGGCCGCTACTACTACCTGGAGCTGGAGGCCCCGCACAACGAGGTGGGCTTCCTGTTCGACCGCTGGATCCGCCTCATCAACCTGCTACAGGAGCCTGCGACCACCTGGGCCCCCAGGACCATGCACACGCCCCCCCTGGAGGTGTCCCTGGCTGAACCGCCTGCCTCCACCTGGCACCTCCAGGTGGGACCCCAACTCCGCAGACCCTGGGCCAGCAGCCCTAGGAACCCACCATCTAGATTCCAGAGGGAATTGGGACCAACAGTCCAAAGTCCAGGGTCCTTGGGGGAACGGGGCTGGGGACGGGACCCCTGGGTCTGAGGAAGGAGGGGCTGGGGACTGGGGACAGAGACCGCTGGCTGAGTAGCTCATGGAAATGTGGAAAGAGGGAGGGCTGGACCCCTCCTGACTCCCCTTCTCTCCCACAGGTCCCATCCTTTTGGGAACACGCAGGTGAGCGGGCCCTGCCGTCCTCAGTCCTCCGAGGGGCCTCAGGTTCTCCAGCCCGGGCGAGGACAGAGCTCTGGCACCTGGGCTCTTCCCCGCTCTCCCCCGGCAGAGCCCTGCATGTGCTCCTCGGGGCCTGTCCTTGCATCCTCTGCTCAGGGTCCCTGACTCGGGTCTCTGCTCCTCTCTTCCCAGTCACGGTTGCTCAGCCCACCTTTCCTTACAAGATGCTGAAGGCTCACAGACAAAAGAAGACCATGGTGAGCCCGCCGGGGTGGGCCCAGTGGTCTGGGGCCCGACGGCTGCCTCTCTTCTGACTGTCCCTTCCTCACCTCATTGCCAGGCCTTCAAGCGCAGATTCAGGTCTCAGGCCGTGGGTGACTCCGTGCCCCTCATCTGGTCGCAGCTGGAACATGCTGACACTACGAAGAAATCCAAAGAAAAGAAGTGGGCAAGGGGTCTTGTCGCCGGTGGGACTTGGGAGAAGGATGGGGACCCTGGCCTGGACACCACCAAAGTCCCGCAATGTTGCCCCTACAGGTCCCACCCAGACACCTGCCCCGATGGCTCCTACACTCAAATCCATGCTTCTGGTAAGATCAGCCCCCTCCCCTGCCACCACCGGTGGCGCCCGCGGCGGCGCCGGGCCTTTGGCGGCAGGGCTCAGCCCGCGTGCTCTCCCCCCAGAGAAGGCCAGCATCACCATCCGGACCATCTTCAGCATTGTCTCCAGCACCGCCAACCAGATTCAGTCCTCGACAAAGGCCAGCTACGCGCTAGGGGCCATGGCCGGGCTCCCGGTCTTATGGGGGAGACATTTGGGGCTGGATCCCTGGGTCTGAGGGAGGAGAGGCGGCTGGGGGATGAACCCCTGGGTCTGGGGTCTCCCCCAGCCCTGACATCCATCCACCTACAGGCTGGCACGTCTGACTCGGATGAGGCCACAGGCGAGAGACGCTTGCTTGAGACCCCTTCACACTGTATCTCGGAGAACGGCCCCGATTTCTTCTTTCCACACTCCTACGATCACTTGGAACCGTTCATGTGGCAGCAACACATCCAAGACCTCATGGACCTTGAGTCCAGCACTCTGTCCTCCACCTCCTTCAGCCTGTCTCCCTACCCTCCCTCTGCATACCTGTCCACACCCTACTCCTCCTTCCCCAGGCCCAGCGAAAAGCATAGGCCCACAGGCTCCCGGCAGGGGCAGGGGCCACCCCCCTCCCAGAGGGCCCCATGTGTCCCTGTCCAATCTAGCAAGGCCCCATTCATTGTCGACCAGTCCCAGAAGATCCCGGCTGTACCTGCTCTATCCCGGAAGGCCCCAGTGCTCCAAGCGCCACCCCACAAAGCCCTGGCCGTACCTGGGCCACCTCAGAAGGTCTTCGCCATGCCTGGTCCAATCTGGAAGGGCCCACGTGTATCAGCTGTCCCCCAGAAGCCCCCAGCCATACCTGCTCCGTCCCGGAGGGCCCCACCTGTACCTGCTGTTCCTCAGAAGGCCCCAGCTGTACAAGCCCCACGCCTACCTCAGAAGACCCCATCTGCAGCTACTATTACCCAGAAGGGCATGTCTCTATTCTTCCCTGGCTCCTCCCAGAAGCCTCCGACCTTACCTACCCAACACCAGATGGCACATGGATTGCCCACCGCAAGGGGGAAGCCCCCTGTCAATTTTGACCTGTTGCCAACAGGACCTCCCGGGAGGGACGCGCTCCAGAGAAACAAGACTGAAGGGAAGCCAGAGCAGGGAGTGACGGTGGGCACCAAGCAGACGGATGTGGTGGCGATGAGGACCCAGACGAAGTCCCTGGGGGTGCCCTTCACCACGACCAAAAAGGAGTCCGAGGACATCATGATGGGCAAAACCCGGGAGATGACCCTGGAGGGCTTGAGGGGCTGGGGGAAGTCGGAGGACAGGACGCACCGGGCGAAGGAGGAGATATCCCTGGACCTGCCTGGTGGGAGGTCCAAGGAGGTGGAACAGCAGAAGAAGTGGGTCAAGATGCAGGAGCTGGCCATCGAGGACCCTCCCGAGGAGCACCGCAGGCCCTTCTCGGTGGAGGGGCTCGCCCTTGCCAAAATGATGATCATTGCCAACTCCAAGGAGCAGCGCTTGAGACCCACTTTGGTCTCACTTCCCTCCTGGCTCTCGGTGACCTCCCACACCTCTGCCATGTCTACAATGGGCTCAATGCCCTTCAACTCCAACCAGCTGAAGGGGCCGTCGGTGACGGTGAGGGAGTGGCCAGAGTCGCACACCTGGGTGAAAAAGAACAAGCAGCAATGGACAGAGATGAAGGAGCCACCCTGGGACACAGTGAGGCCTTCCAAGGCACACCTCCGCGCTAAGGCCACCTCCGGCAGTCCGAAGATGGAACCTGTCTCCCAGGCGCCCATCCCCCTGCCTGCTTCTCAGTGGGAGGACTTACCGCCATCACCGCTCATGGACAGCCCCATCTCAAGGATGGAGGCCACAGCCAGGCTGCTCCAGCAGCCCACGAGGACATCTCAAGAGCCCGTGACGGTGCCAAACCAGCGCCCCGTGGCCAGGGCAGGGTCATCCTCAAAGATTATCTTGCCCATGCTGGTAGAAATTGACAATATGAGGGACAAGGACATCAAGGTAGAGAAGATAAAGGAGGACCCCCCCATCTTCAATCCTCCACCCAGGTATTTGGAGTTAGCAGCGAGCATTTACTGTCAGCTCTGTTATCTGCAAGGCAGAGACCATCATTCCCTGGTTTCACTTTTATTCGAGCACTTGATATTTAGTGAGTGTCGACTACCTGCCAGGCATTGTTATAGGCAGTAGGGATCCAGCGCCCAACAATGGGGGTGGCGGTGGTGGAGTGTGTGTGTCTGGTGGATAGACCAGAGACGCTGCTAAACATCCTGCAGTGCACAGGACGGCCACTACCGCAGCACAGGTGGTCTAGGAAGGCCTTATTGAGCTAGGAGCATTGGTTTAAAGATCTGAAGGAAGGGGCTGGAAGCCATGAGGACATGGGGGGAGAGCATCCCTGCAGAAGGAATAGCCACTGCAGAGTCCCTGAGGCAGGAGTGTACACAATGTGCTGGACCGAGAGTGAGCTCCAGGGGATCCCAGAGAAGGAAATGCAGTCAGAGGAGTAACAGGGGCACCCATCATGTTGGACTTTGCAGACAGTTTTAAGGACTTTGGCTATGACTCTGAGTGAGCTGGAGGGTTTGGGGCAGGACAGTGGTGGGAACCAATTTATGTTTGAAAGGGCTCTCTGGTGGGAGCATAGAGAATGCAGAGGGGACAAGGGCGGAAGCTAGGAGAGCCCAGAGGAGGCCGTAGCAATAACCCAGGTAGAAGATGATGGGGACAGGTGGTGGGCTCTGGAGGGACTTAGAAGCATGAGCCAGCAGATTGTTTCACAGACTGGGCATGTGGTGCAAGAGAAAGGCTAGCATTGTGGATGGCTGGGAGGATTTGGGGCCCAGAGGCCCAGAGGGTGCAGCAGGAGGGCAGGATTCCAGGAGAAGCTCTGACATTCCCTTTTGAACATCTGGATTCTGAGATGTCGGGGAATTGCAAGGTAGGCAACTGAATATGTGGGTGTGGCGGTCAGGAGAAGCAACTTGGGGAGTTGCCTGCGTGTGGACGGGTTACTTCAAGCTGTGAGGTTGGAGGAGTTCCCCAGGGAGTGAGTGGAGACAGAAGAGAAAAGACTTAAGGTATTTAGCAAAAGAGGAGCCCAAGTCAGAGAGTGGGCAGAGCAGCAGGAGCTAGGGATCCCAACCGCGGCGTCTGAGGGAAGGTGAGTACTGGGGTGGGACCTCTGGATTTCCCAGCAAGAGGGTGACACTAGGTGTGGTGAGGACCTGATAGGAGCAGGCTGAAGAGCAGAGAGAGAGGGGAATCGCCCGGCTGCAACATGGGTGAGCCCTGCAAACATGCCCAGTGAAAGTGGCCACACACAACAGGCCACATGGCATAGGCAGATCCGTAGAGTCAGAAAGTGGATTGGCGGTGGTAACTGCTAATGGGATGGGGGTTTCTTTGGGGAGTGATACAAACGTGTTGGAACTGGATAGAGGTGGTGGTTGCACAACATTGTGAGTATACCAAATGCCACTGCAAAAGGGCACACTTTAAAATGGTGATGGTGGCAAATTTGACATCATGGATATTTTCTCATGATACACATACACACACGTGTATGTTTGCAAAGAGGGGAATTGGAGACCCGGAGTAGACCTGCTCTTTCTAAGGAGTTTGCAGTAAAGGGAGGAGAGACATGGGGAGCTAGCTGCTGCAAGAAGTGGGCAGAGCAAGGGCTTTTGAACTCGTGCATTTGGCTACTGGAGCGAGCAATCCAGAGTCAGGCCTGATATCAACAAGGCAGGAAGGAGAGAGACCTAGCAGGGTCCCAGAGTGAATGAAACCACTTGCCCAGATTCCAGGGTTTGTTGTCCAGCCCTGAGAGCCAGGACTCATTCATTCCGCATGGAATTACGAGCATTGACTACAGCCATGCTCTGCCCTAGGCAGATGCAACAGTGAACTGAGCACACAGCAAGCCTTGCTCTTTCCTGAGCCATGCAGCGGCAGCTCCTGGAGCCCCGCATGGCCCTCTCTCCCTGCCGGGTCCCCCAAAGCCCTCTCCAGCTTTCTTTCTCCCTGCAGCGGGTTTCAGTAGCAGGATGCAACGGACTCAACCGTACTCGGCAAACTGTCCAGAGGAGCCCAACATGGCCAGGTAACCTCTGAGACCCTGGAGACCTGCTTTAGACCTGGCCTTGGGGTAGGGGTGGGGGGGGTCCCAGGAGCCCGGACCCCACCCCCCGCTCTTTCCTCGAACCCCACAGGCCCCCAGGGTGCTGTGCACCGCTGCTGTAAGGAGCAGAGTGCTGGAAAGGCCGGCTGGGGGCATCCTCCCTCTCCGGGAGAGACCAGAACTATCGATACGTTTGTATATTGGGGGCGGGGGGCGGGGAGGGAGGGAGAGCCCGCGGAGTAGCCCAGCTTCGCAGACATTAAAAGCCTGAGTCTCAGGCTCGGCAAAGTCCGCCTCGGTGGCTGCGCGCGCTCGGGCCGCGGAGGGGCGTCGTGCGGGAGGGGGCGGGGTGCGCGGCGCGCCCACTGGCTGGGGCTCCGGGGCCGCCAGCCAATCCGGCCAGGGGTCGCGATTTTCCGGAGGGGGTGCGACCGGCCCCAGCAGACGGCAGAGGCACCGGACAGCCGCAAGCACAACCGATCCAGTGGCCCGCCCACGAGGTATGCTGAGGGCGGGCCGGGCGGGGTCTCGGGTGGGGGCCGGGAGCTGGGGGCGGGCCGGGCCGAGGGGCGTCTCCTGGGCCCCAGCAGCCCCCTCCTGCTCCGCAGGAGCTGCCTCTTCGGTTTATGTCGGAAGTCCGAGCGCAGAAGCCCCCCCCGGGGAAATGGTGGACGCCGCCCTTCGACCCGCGATTCCCCAACCAGAACCAGACCCGTAACTGCTACCAGAACTTCCTGGGTGAGACCCGGTGGGCCACGTTTGGAGGGAGCAGGGTGCGTGACCGGGGCAAGCAGGAGCGGCGAGCCCCACCTGAAGGCCCCGGAGACCGTTTGGGCGGGAGGGGGGCGCGGGCCGCGGTCGGAAAGGGCAGGGCCTGGGCTGACGGGGGCGGGACCGAGCCGCGAGGGGCGGGGCGAGGGGCCAGGGGCGGAGCCTGGCCGGGAGAGCCCTGCCGACGGGGCGGGGCCTGTCTGTCTGGGCGTGGCTTCCTCATGGCCCCGCCCCCTGCGCCGCAGACTACCACCGCTGCCAGAAGACCATGAAGCGCCGCGGGAAGAGCGCGCAGCCCTGCGAGTACTATTTCCGCGTGTACCACTCACTGTGCCCCATCAGCTGGGTAAGCGGGCAGAGGGGCGCGCAGCGGGAGTGGGGGAGGGCTCGGGCCGAGGCTGAGCCGGCGCCCCGCCTCTGCCTTCCTGCTGCGCAGGTGCAGCGCTGGAACGACCAGATCAAAGAAGGCACCTTCGCCGGCAAAATCTAACCGTTGGAGCGCTGCTTCCTCCAGGGGATCGCCCCCGTGGCCCCGCATCTTCTCGTCTTGCGGAGACCTGGGCTCGGTTACCCACCCCACCCCGATCTCTAAGCCGTAAATAAAGTTATGTTGTTGCTGATGTTTCTTCTTAATGCCTGGCCGGTGATGCGTGGGCACTGGGGGTCCTCCTTGTGCCTGGGTGGTGGCTAACGCCGCTTTTTCTGATAAGCGGGGTGGGGGCAGGAGCTGCTCCGTTAGGTGGAGGGAGGGCAGTTAAGGCCTGAGGTGGGAAGGTAGAATCAAGCCGAAGGCCTCCCGCCCCCTCTGACTTCGTTCCTGCAGGTAGGGGCCTCCTTTTTTATTTTTATTTTTTGAGACAGAGTCTCACTCTGTTGCCTGGGCTAGAGTGCCGTGGCATCAGCCTAGCTCACAGAAACCTCAAACTCCTGGGCTCAAGCTATCCTCCTGACTCAGCCTCCCAAGTTGTTGGGACTACAGGCATACGCCACCATGCCCAGCTAATTTTTTCTATATTTTTAGTTGTCCAGCTAATTTCTATGTTTTTAGTAGAGATGGGGTCTCACTCTTGCTCAGGCTGGTCTCAAACTCCTGAGCTCAAACAATCCTCTTGCCTTGGCCTCCCAGAGTGTTAGGATTACAGGCGTGAGCCACCGCTCCCAGCCCCTGCAGGTAGGGGCGTCTTCTTGACAGCTGCCAGCCAGGCCTGGGCCGCAGATGCCCACTCTCTCCCACGCAGAGGGCTCCAGGGTGCCTTTGCCTCTCAATCCCCACACCTACCTGTCCCCAAGTCTTTTCCACCCTCCACTGTCCCTGCCCTGTCTCCCCAGCCTCCTCCCCTACCCCACCCCCATCCATCCCATCTCAGGTCCTGAGGGGTCTTCTTTGTACCACCCAGCACCGACCGCCTCCACTTTCTGGTCTCTCCACCACTCTCCATCGTGCGCGGCATCCCACCTGGCTCCACTTCCCTCCCAGAACATCAAGGTCCCCATCACATGAGACCACTTACTCCCCACAGGGTCCCCTGGATCCCTCACTCCACACCTGTCAACACCCACGTCCAGGGCCAGAGCAGCCCCCTCCTCTCCCAGGTGACAGGCCAGCTCCCCGGTCCCATACGCATCCTGTCTTCCCATGACACACATCACCCAGCCTCTCCCTGTGGCCCTTTCAAACTGCGAGCGCCTTGAGGACGCTCAAAGCCCCTCTGATTTATCCTTCCCTCCTTCCCCATCCAGTGGCGACAACACTGAGCTGCATTCTGATTCCCGATGTCCCTTGAAGTGCTACCTCTCCCCAGGATGAGGAGTGAGCCTTGACAGAGCCAGGGGTGGGGAAGGGGAAGGGTTCTAGCCTGGTCCTATGGAGGACTGGCCAGGAGACCAGTCTGCCAGGCCCAGTTGTTTCCTGCCTGTTGCTGCCTGAGGCTATCAGCCTCCTTGGCTCCACCTGCAGCGGCAGAAACAGTCCTATGAGGCCTTGTTCAACCCCAGAGTTCAGAGTTGACTGTGACTAATCATGACAACTTGCTGGGTAACCCTGGACGAGCCTTTTGACCTGTGTGAACCTCAGGGTTCCCCAGCTGTAAATGGAGATAGCTCAGAGTCCCGTTATCAGGAGCGGTGGGGTGGGAGGGGCTGGGTGAGCTCAGAGGGCTGGCTCTGCCCCATGGTGACCCGTCCACCACCTGCCCTCCGTGCTGCCCACCCCACCCAACCCAGGGCACACTCAGGCCATCTCCCAGGATACCTCCTCCTCCGTGATCTTGGCTTCCAGGCTCCCTGTCTCTGACCAGGACCCAAGAGGCAGGGTGCGGGTGAGGGTGCAGGGAGTGGGCTTGGCTACAGGAGGGCCCCCTGTTCATGCAACACCTCCAGAGTCTCTGATGATGCCTGCGCAGAGGCTGCGCTGCTGCAGGAGTGAAAGCTTGTAGCAGGCAGGGCCCTCTCTGAGTCACAGAATGGGGCTAAAGACTGCCTTAGGACTCAGTGAGGTCACCCAGATAGCCACCTGTGCATGGGGCCCCTCACCTGTGCAGCCATGCCAGTCTCCTGACCTCCCGAGTCCAGAGCCTGGAGCCTGCCTTTGCCCTATTGACCAGCCTTCCCCTTCCTTCCTCTCTGGGCCCACGATCCTGCCCACCACTGTCACTTGAGGAGTGTGACGCTTCCAGCTTTTATCCCAGTGCATTCTTACACACCTGGCCGCTCCTGTAGCCACCACTGCCCAAGGATGCCTGAGCCAAGGACAGGGCCAGACCCACCTGCCTCCAGCCTGGTGGACCGTCACCACCCAAAACTCTGAATACCTCTCCCATGGCTCCTCGGCCAGCCTTCCCTACTGGTGTTCACAGCAGCCACCCACTGAGACCCCCAATGCCAGCCTCACTGTCACCAGCAGCCTCCCAGGTCAGAGAAAGCCCAGGCAATTGACTGCTCCTGCCACCACCCCAGCACCTGCATCCTTACTCTCCTGAATGCCCCTCTCCCTCCACTTTTCCTCTTCTTCCTTCTCCCCCCCCCTCCTCCATCCAGCACCTTCTTTCCCCAGAAGTCTCTCCTCCTTCCTCCCAGCCTGAACACATGCTCAGGTACTTCCCAGGCAGGACCACAAAACCAGATGCTGCAGTTCATCCTTTGCTCCATGAACTCTGGAAGCAGCCTGCCCTTTCCTCCTACCTCCCCCAGTTCCTCCAGCTCCCTCTCTACCAGGGCGGAGAAGGGGTTCCTAGTACATGCAGCCTGGCCTGGCCACCCACAGGGTAAGCTTGCTCAGTGCCCAGGCTGATGACATGGAGGCAATATACCGGCTGCAGCCTGTGGCTGCTCCAGAGATGGCTCTGCAGCTCCGCTTCTCTGTGCTGAATGTGCCCAAGGGACTTGGTGAGCTGGCACCAGGGCTGTCAGCTGTTGTTATTTCCTTCTGTAAGAGAGGGTTGCTATGAGCGTTAAGAGACCATGGCAAAATTAAGATATGGGATTAGACCTGAAGCAATGAGGTTCATTGTCCTGGTCTCACACTCAGAGCGAAGGCTGAAGCCTAAGATGACCCAGCTGACCCACCTGACACCCCCCAGTCAGCACCACCTCCCCAGACCAGGCTTTGCCGGCCCCACCCCCATTTTGGCTGAGGTGTGGGAGGTCATCTGATTGACAAGTGAAGGAAGGGCCTCCAAGTCCCTGTATGGCCTTGGGCAAGTCACTCTGCTTGGCCTGACCTCAGTTACCTCATCTGGAAAGAGGGGAGAATCCTTCCCCACAAGACACAATGGGTCTGAAGACTTTTATTAGGTTGGTGTAAAAGTAATTGCGGTTTCAGATGTGAATTTTAAATCATTATAACTAGGCTCAGACACATCTTTATTAATCAAAATAGGAACCATTATAATCAACACATTTTTGCCAATGAGAAATAAGTTTGTTTATTCCTGTAGCATAAATATCCGTGCTTTGGGATTCGACAAACGCTTGGAAAGCATTTTCTGCATCCTGCTGGTTGTAGAAGTGTTTTCCCTGCAAAAAGTTGTCGAGATGTTTGAAGTAGTTGGTTGGCGAGAGGTCAGGTAAATATGGCAAAACTTTGTAGCCCAATTTGTTCAACTTTTGGAGTGTTGGTTGTGTGAAGTGCAGTTGGGCATTGTAGTGAAGAATTGGGCCCTTTCTGTTGACCAATGCCGGCTGCAGGTGTTGCAGTTTTGGGTGCATCTCATTGATTTGCTGAACATACTTCTCAGATGGAATGGTTTTGCTAGGATTCAGAAAGCTGTAGTGGATCAGACCAGCAGCAGACCACCAAACAGTGACCATGACCTTTTTCTGGTGCAAGTTTGGCTTTGGGAAGTGTTTTGGAGCTTCTTCTCAGTCCAACCACTGAGCTGGTCATCACTGCCTGTCGTATAAAATCCACTTTTCCTTGCACAGTCACAATCCAATCAACAAACGGTTCATTGTTATGTACAATAAGAGAAGACAATACTTCCAATCCAGGATTTTTTTTCTTTTTTTTGAGACAGAGTCTCACTGTGTTGCCTGGTCTAGAGTGCCGTGGTGTCAACCTAGCTCACAGCAACCTCCAACTCCTGGGCTCTAGTGATACTTCTGCCTCAGCTTCCTGAGAAAGGAATGCGCCACCATGCTCAGCTAATTTTTTCTACATATATTTTTAGTTGGCCAATTAATTCTTTCTATTTTTAGTAGAGACGGGGTCTTGCTCTAGCTCAGGCTGGTTTTGAACTCCTAACCTTGAGCGATCCTCCCGCCTCAGCCTTCCAGAGTGCCAGGATTATAGGCGTAAGCCACCGCACCCGACCAAACGAGGATTTTTTTGATTTTTGGTCAGTTCGAGGCACCAACTTATCGAGCTTTTTCACCTTTCCAATTTGCTTCAAATGACAGTAGAATAAATGGTCAACATCGAGGTCTTCAGCAACTTCTGTGTAGTTGTAAGAGGATCAGCTCTGATGACTGCTCTCAATTGGTTGTTGTCAACTCCCAATGGCCAGCCACTGCACTCTTCATCTTCAAGGCTTTCGTCTCCTTTTGAAAACTTCATTAGCAGTGCCTGGACCAAATGCGTTGTTGATATTGCGAATTGTCTCCGCTGCTTTATGACCCGAATAAGAAAATCACTCAAATTTGCTTTTTGTCTAACATCATTTCCATAGCCTAAAATAAATATCAAATAAACACCAAGTGATGCAATTAGCAAAAAAACTTAAAGCAAGAGATGCATATTGAAATGATGTATAACATGACCACATTTATTTTAGAATGTATTCCAATATCAAATGGCAAGTTTCAACAATGCCAAAACCGCAATTACTTTTGCACCAACCCAAGCAGTTTGAGCAGTGATGTGGCTCCTACTTCAGCACTCCAGTCCCCAGAACCCGCTGCCCTTCACCTGCCCCAAGTCCTCTCCAGACAGCTCTTGGGGCCCAAGGCCTGTGCGGCTGCCCCATCTCCCCAGCACGGCTGAGGGCCTCCAGACAGCCCCATAAGACATATGCCAAAACAAAGCAATTCCAAAGGTGCTCCTTATAACAAGGTTTTAATAAAATAAAATAAAAAGTTCAAGTGCTTCCAACCCCCAACATACCCCTTTCTGGTGTGGGGGAGGGGAGGGCGCCCCCACCCCAGTAGCACCAGGGATAGCACCATGAGAAAGACGAGGTCGCACCCGGCCTCCCTGAGACCCTTCGGGGGCAGTGAGGAGAACATGTCCCCCAGACAGCCCCCACCTTCCCCTACCTTAGACAGTTGCAGAGCCGAGAGCAAACCCACTCCCCTCCATGGGGGCAGATTTAGGGAGTGCCACCCCCAAGTCAGTTCTACCTCCTCCTGAGGCCTGGGCTTCTGGGGAGATGCCATGGGGTGGCCCCCACCCCCTTATGGCTTTGCTCCCTGGGGAGGAAGGGGCTGAGAGAGGGGATGGCTCCTGCAGTCTTGAGGCTGGGCAGGGGTGGGGAGGGCAGCAAATGGCCAGGGCTCCCTGTGGGGTGAGGGTGGCTCAGGGGTCAGCAGTCACAAAGGGTCAGGGATCAGATCCCTGGGGGTGTCCAAACCAACCCCCGCCCAGGGCTAGAGCTGTGCTGAGGTCAAGGGTCAGCTCCCTCCAGAGGTCCAAGGGCTTTTTCTGGAGGTGGGGGGAGCTAGGAGAGAGCTCCCTCTCTCCTGCCCAGGCTCCCCCACCCCGAGTCCAGCCCATCACAGCCCTTCTTCATTGACATCCAGGTCGATGGAGCCATGGCTGACCACCAGCCGCAGGCGCTTGGGCGGGGAGAATGGGGTGAAGGCGAGGGCCTGTTTGGGGACCAGGATGGGGCCTGGGGTGCTAGTGGGGGCAGGGGTGGCTAGTGGGGCCGGGGCCAGGCGGCTGAGGTCCACACGCACCACATAAGGCAGCCCATAGCGCCGGGCCCAGTGCCAGTCCTGCTGGGGGGCCCAGCGGGCACGGGGAGGCTGGCCCAGGGCCACCAAGGCCTCTGCCTGCAGGCGGCAGTGGGGGCCACAGCCTCCCCATCGGTGCAGGGAGACACGGGCATGGGGGATGGGGGGTGCTGGGGCCTGCCGGGGCCGGGGGCGTCGGCGTTTCCGGGGGTGCACTCGGGGCTGGGGCTGAGGCAGCCACTGGAGCCACAGGGGCAAGCTGTCTGGGCGGGTGCCACAAGGTGGCAGGTGCAGGGGCTGGCAGGCAGCTGTGGGGGTGGGGAGAAGAGGAGACAAAGGAGAGGCCACATCAGCAGGGCCTAGCTGGCCCTCCTCTGGACAAGGAGACAGTTCTGTGCTGTGCTCCTCAGAGGAGGAAGATGCAAGGAGATATGCTTACCAGCAAGGCCTCATCGGGGAACTGACAGTGGGAGGGAAGGGTCCAGGCTGGGCAGAGAGCTCAGGAGAAAGGGGACAGAGACCGGATAGGGAGGGAAGGGAAGGGGCTCAGGGATAGGCTGACAGCATGGCAAGGAGGGGTGCTCACTGCAAAACAGGTCCCGGCGCAGAGGGGACGGGTGAACACAGGCCCACGGGCCCAGCAGGCCTTGCCGCCCACTTCCGTCCAGGCCTTGCTGCAGCCGCCGCTTGGTCTCCCGTAGCTGGTACTTGTCCTGGGGCCGTGGTGGCAGCATAGGATCCCTGGGCCGCAGTCGGAAAGCTCCTTCACCTCTCCTGCGGGGCCAGGAGCAGGGGAGAGGCTGGCGGTGGATGCGCTCAGGCATAGGCCCCGAAGAGGATGCATTTTCAGGCTCAGGGACCCCAGGCTCCTGGGGCAGCTGGCCTGTCCCGACCAGGCCTGCCCTGCCTGCCCCTCACCCTGTCCCCACCTCTCACAGGTGTAGCATTCACAGTGCTCGTTCTTTTCGCCGAAGAAGCCCTCGCCATAGAAGCATGTCACCTCGTCCCCTGGCTCGATGTCCCGGAGCACTTTCACACAGGCTGCGTTCCCATCTGCGGGCACAAACTGGGGCCATGCCCACTCAGCACCTCACAAGGGCAGAGGCTACCCTGCTCTCCCACCTGCTGGGCACCCTGGCCCCAAGGGTCCTCTCCTGGGTCAGGGCGACAGGTGAGCCCCCAAGCAGCACCATTCGGAGGGGCTGCCCTGCGGAGGGCCTGTCCTCCACCGGCAGCGCCTGGACGATCTGCCCCTTGGCTGGCTTCCACCCCTCCCTGCAGGACGATGATCTAACCTAACCTCCTGGCAGCGTGCAGTGCCAGCAGCAGTGACCACTCCCTCCTGTGCTCTTTCTCCGGCTTCTACAGCCACGTGCCAAGCTCCACCTCCTCCAGCACACCCGGAGCCCATCCCCTCCCAAGCTGCCCACTCTCTGTCAGCCTGTGCCTTGGCAGCCGAGGTCGAGCTCTGCTTGCCTCGGGCTGCTTCCCCTCCTGGGGCCTGCCTCCACCCCACACTCCAGCCCTGCCTTTGGGATCGCTAGCCTGTTGGCTGCCCCACAAACCCCTCATGCTCGTCATCTTCCCCTCATGCCTGCACCTGCCTCCCTGCTCTCCCCCCAGGAGAGGGCATGAGCACTGTCTATCTGTCTGTCTGTCTATCCATCTACTCGAGCCTAACGCTCACCTGGGAGTGGCCCTTACAATCTACCTGCCTGAAGGCCCCCAGACCAACTGGCAAGCACCTCCTGAGCATGTCACCTCCTGCATCCTGTCCTCCTCTGGTCCCCAGGACCTGGAGTCAGCCCCTCATCACCTCTCCACTTCCTGTCCAGCCTCCAGCATACCACCTGCCTGATCTAAAAAAACCAAGCGTCCCACCACGCACCCAGGTGGGAGCTCCCATAGCTGCCTGGCCTGCCCCTTGAGGCCCTGGCGCCCACCCCGAGCCATCTTGGGCACCCCGGCTCTCTGGCATGCCATGTCCTGCCTGGGATGCCCTCCTGCACCCTGACATCCTCCAACACCCAGCAAGCCATCACTTCTGTGAAGCCTGACAGTTTTGGCTCACTGGAGTGTGGCTGGCCTCTCTTGTCCCCTAGGTGGCCACTTCCCAGAGCCTCAGGAATGTTGCCTTTTGCTTTCTGTTCCACCCAACATCTGTGTGCGGGGCCAGACAAGGGTACATAGTATTTGTCCCAAAATCAGTCTGCAGCCTCAGGTGGCACCACCTGCCCCTCACCACCATCCCAGGAGGTGAAGATTCTCACCAAACCTGTCTGGGACAAGAAACCCAAAGCCAGGGCAGCACAGCCAGTACTCAAACCCAGTTCTGACTCTGGAGCTGAAGCCCTGCACCCTCCTAGTCACACCTACTGAAGGCCGGTGAGGTCCGCACGCCCACGGTGCACACTCAAGGCCTTCCTGGGGCAGGCTACCCTCAACCCCCCTGCTCTGCCCCACTGGACCACCATGGTGCCTCCTCAGCCGGCTGCTCCCCCTGCTCTGCCTGGAGAGTGTCCTAAGTCCCGGACCTTGGGGCTCACCTCAGGTAGCATGAACCAGCCCCTCTCCAGCTCTGCCATGGCTCTTTGTACCGTCTCCCCGTGAGGCCGGGGCCTCTGGGGCACGGGGACCTAGCGGCCACTTTCTGTCTCCTCATCACCACACTCCCTGCTCATATTGGCATAGCTCCCAGCTGGGTTTCAGAAAAGAAAGATCACCACCAGCAGCTGGCAACCTGGGTCTCAGTGTGACTGTGCAAACGGCCAGGCGACACTGGCCAAGCTAAAGCCTCTTCCTCCTTTCCTGACAGCCTCAGGAACATCACACACTCTGACCATTCCAAGGGGCTGCGGGGGGAGCAGAAACTGCTTTGGTAAGTGGGAAGCCATGGAGACGAGTGACAGCTTCCGGCTCTTTATTGAGCAGAAATCCCTTCCCTGGGCCCAGGCATTCTTACTTCCCAAGTGCCCACTCCTCCGGGTGTCCCTGTCTCACCTTGCAGTTGGGTTTGCAGTCTGCAGCCAGTCGGGGGCGGGGCGGGGGAGAGAAGAGGAGGAGGATCTGAGTGTTCAGAGCCCCTCCCATCCCGCCCTCTGGCCCCACCCCCGTTCCTGTGGCCCCACCCTCAGGCCCGCCCAGGCCCCTCCCATCCACCCCGCCCCTCCGACGGCCTGGCCCTCACCGTGGTTGATGAAGGCCGCAGGGCCGAGCCACAGCTGGGCACTCCGCTTGCGGGTAGAGTACATGATGCTGAAGTCGTTCTCTCCGGCCCTCAGCAGCCCCTCATCCGCCTCCCGCAGCTCGGCGATGCAGCCCACCAGCAGCTCCAGCTTCTCGTTCTTCTTCCTGCCAAGAGGCCAGGGCGTGCGGGGCTGTGAGCGCCGCTTCCCATAGGCGTCAGGAGCCTCTGGCACAGGAGCGCGGGGGAGCAGGCCTCCTGCGAGCGGGACCTAGGGGCGGTGCCGGCCATTGGCCTCCGCCTCCCTGATTCTCTCTTACCTCCCCTCCAGGACCCTTCTGCTGAAAGCCTCCAGGACAGCACACGCAGCCCGGCTAGCCCTGGGGCTCCCATTCTCTCCCCTGCTCTCATTCATTGCCTCCTGCCCATACTCCCCACACACACCTTGCTACCCCCTCCGGTTTGTCCCTGTGAGTTCTCTGGGCACTCCCTGGCCAGCCCCGCCCCGCCCCCCTCCCCACCCCACCCCCCAACAGCTGTGATCAGTAACCACACGTTGACTTGGCTGCCACCCGCCTCCCCCCATGGCTGCAACCGCAGGGGTAGGCACGGGTGTCCCTCCCTGCACCCAGTGGTGCTTGGTGCACAGTGGGGGCTCAGGTCAGGATGTATTATAGATAGGACAGCAGCCTGAGCACAGCCTAGTTCTTTCCTGGCAGCCCCAGGAACCCTGGGGTCGCTTCTGGGGTCGTGTCCTCCAGTGGCACTATGGTGGGCAGCAAGGGCCTTCTGGCCCTGGCCTTCCTGCACTGCCTGGACCAGGCCCTCTCTCTTC